AAACCCGAGTGCTCCACCCGCGCCTGACCTCCCAGGGCCCCTCCCCCGGCGCCGCCCCTTCCCCAGACCGGACCCCTCTGCGCCCAGGGCGCCCCTGCACCCCAGGAGCCCCACTCTGGCCTCCCCGGCTCAGTGCGCCCGAGCCTGGACTTTTGGGGGCTTCCTTCCCCCACTCCCTTCCACGGACCTTCGGTGACTTCCCGCCCTGTCCCGCCGCTCGGACGTGGCTCCTTTGGGGGTGGGGGTGGGGTAGGGAGCGCAGTATAAAGGGCGGGAGACGGCGCGGGCCGAGACCTAGACGTGGCGCGTCCAGTGTGCCGGCCTCGGCTGCAGGTACGTGTGCGCCCCTCCCCGCCCCCGCTGGCGGCCGTGCGGTCTGGGGGTGGGCAGGGGCCGCCGGTCCCTCGCGGACTGCAGAGTTCGTGATTTTTTTCCTTTTTGTGTGACATCCCCTTGCGAGCTCTGAACTGGAAACTACTTAAAGACCAAGAGGGTAGCTGCGGGGACTCTTGGAGGAGCGATTTGGGGGTGGCCTTCCGCCTACTTGGGGTCAAACCAGGGAGGCAGGCCTGGGGCTTCCCCAGTTAGTACGCTGCGCGTTAAGAGAGGAGCTCGGGGTGGACTAGGTCAGCTCGTCCAATTCTGGGGCCAGATGTTACTTGTTGCACTTTTGCTGAATCTTTCGGCTCTATTGAGCAAGTACTCAGGTGAAAAGATTCGTAATTATAAATTAAAGTACCTTTCAAGACTCCTAGAATTGGATACTTTTTAGCAAGGCATCAGTTTAGACTCCGAAGAGCGGTGCGCGTCCCTTTTCCTCTCGGTGAGGGTGGGGACAGTATCTCTGGGCCCCTTTTTCTCCATCTGGGTTTCCGAGGGTGGCCTTAACGTTCCCCTTGCCTGAGGAAGCGCGTGGACGTCCCCACGGCTGTCCTCTCTGAGCTGACTGCATAGGCGGTCCCCATGGCCCACGTTCACACAGGGCTCCAGAGCGGGCCCTTGAGGTAACGCACGCCGGGAGTGGGCCAGGATGCCCACAACTGTGCCAGTGAGCTCCTCTGTGCAACAGAGAGCCCACCACTGGCTGGGGGTGTCACAGCTGGTCATATCCCAGAGAACAATAGAAATACAAGTTGGTATTGATTTTTGTTTATTTTGTAGAAATATTTTTTAATAAAAGAATTAAATGAAAGCAATCCTGAAGCTTTCCACGGAAGCCTAGCCCAGCCCAAAATCTCCAGTCTCTGTCTCACACGAGTGGTGGGCTGCTTGGGTACTCAAGGCCTCACTGGGATTTTCTGTACAGACACCCTGGAGGAGGTGTCAGGAGCTGGGTGCCTCTTTGAGAAGCATTCTTCCCTGGTTGTGTTGGGGGCACTCAGGCCTGGCAGCTGCCTGTCTCCTGAGACCTTACTGAACAGCTTTACAGTTCTGTGCTTGGCACGAGGGGCACCAGCTCCATTCCTGACATTCCGATTCTCTTGCTTACGTGGCACAGAGGCCTCTGGACGCCCTGGGAGGTGGAGGCTGCCAGAAGCCTATCCCGGCTGCTCTGCTCCTGCGGGTGTGGGCAAGGGGAGAAGGGACATTACCTGACTCTTGGCCTTCCAGCTCTTGGGTGCATGGGTGCCTTTGGAGTCTCCAGGCGCCAGGGCAAAGGGAGAGAGAAACTAAGACCCAGGTGTGTCATTAAACCTTGCCCTTGCCTTTCAACATTACAGTTAAAGGCGTGTACACTTTTAAAAAAATCTTGGCATATAGTGAGTTTAGCAGTGGGAAGAAAATAGCTTTCTACACCGTAATCCAGGAGGGCTGATAAGATAACATTTAACTCAATAAATTATGTAACTTTATATGTATGTGGGGGAGGGAGGTCAATTTGACGCGTAGTTTACTGGCCCTACCCAAGCATTGTTAAAATGTGTGTTTAGTGATAATGAATTACAAAGTAATAATGAGGACAGATGAGAAATGAAATAATAATTTAGAGTGCATCCTTAAGGTAAAATGGCCCTCAACTGAGGTTGTGATGTCACCTTGTGACTTAGGGAAAGTTCCTTAACTTTCCTGAGCCCTCTCTTCACTTGGAGCTTAATGAACCTGCTGGCAGGTGTATGCTCTGTAAGCACTGAAAGAGAAAGGGGGTGATATAAATAAATGTCCAGGGCCCACCACAGAAGTTGTCTCTCTACAATAAAATTATTTTAAGGAATCCACAGGTGTTTCCTTGTCCCAAATGAAATTGCTGGGTTTTTGGTGTGTGTGTTTTTTAAAGTTTTGTTCAATGAAGAACTTCCTACAGTAAGCTTCTCATCACATTATAGAACTAGGGGTGACAATTTCAAAACAAAACTGTTTAGTTCCCCTTTAAAAATGAAAGTATAGCTCTCCCTAAACTGTTTTATGTCAGCCATGCGCACAATGTAAAAGATTAAAACACCAACAAATACTCGGTGAAAATGATGAATTTTGGGGCACTGATTCATGTGACCTGAAAAACGCCATCCATTTCCTGATTCACCTCAACTTCCGTGGTAATACGAGGGATCTCTTATGTCTCTGAAATAATTAACTGGTTTTGTCTTATCTTTATTTCCCTCCCTTGTCCTTGAAATTCAGCTACATCGATAAACTGCCGCCTCAGAGGGGAACAGCAGGGAGAGGGCTGAAGAGAATGTCACCTGGTGGAGATGCAGATGCTGCTGTGGTCAGAAGTGACCTTCAAGGGAAACCTCGATACCTGTGACCTTTACAGTTCATGAGATTGTATTAGTATCGTGAAATCATGGTCTATGGACACTTACATCTTAACTGGGTTTTCCTACAAATGAGTCAGGGGACACATTACAATTATCCACAAGTGTTCCCTTTTTCTCCTGTTTTCCTTTTTTCAGATCCATGGCATTTAAGAATTTTAAAAAACCTGCTAAATCCTCTGATCAGCCCCATTAGTTTTTTCTTAAAATGGCTAAACATCGATAAAACGATACATAGTTTTATGCCTCACTAAGATTGCCTAGTGCTGGGTTTTGTTCATATACTGTTTGAAGTATTTGAAAGACCCATGATATGGCTAGAGATAATGCTGTGATGTTCCCCAAAGTCTTGATAAAAGAAGAATTACCAAGTGGGGAGAGTTCAGGGAGACATCAGCCCCAACTCAAGTAACTTGAGCTTCATCGGTGTTCTTTGGGGTTCTTTTACCCATGGAAATGCTCACTCCCCATTTAGCAGCCCACTCTCATAGCAGAGGTAAGCAGGCCAGTTTTATTCAAAAACAACAGCCAGACACTAAAACAGAATAGAAAGAAAATAGTTATGGCACATCTGAGAATGAGCATCAGTGGGCATGGGACAAAGTGTGGGCTCTTAGACCTTAAACTGAAGGGCAAGGGCACCTGCCTGTCAGCCCTCTGCCCGTCTGTACACTGGATACTCCATCAGGCTCCCTTCTCTGAAATCTGAGTTCCACCCATACCCACCCAGGGCCTGCGTCCAGCTTCCCATGTCTGCCAGGAGCATGTTTTGCCCCTGCCAGTTGTTCCATGGAGAGTGACACAGAGTGACCTGGCCATTGTCCAACTCAGGTGAGCTTGCTCACTTTTGAGCTCTCTAGAACTCACTCCACCAGTGAAAACCACCTCTGGAAGTATTTTGCCTTGTCTTTATGGTTAAATTTCTAGATATATTTTTCTAGCAAGCAACCCAATTCCCTTACAATAAAATTGTGCTCAAAACATCTCAAGTTGTCTTTTTATAAATATGGTCTGAGGAGAGGAAAAATGCTGGGTTTGAAAGATGTTTGGAATACCTAGAGGAGTTTCAGATGGTTTGTAGCATGGAGATAAAGCATCCATATGGTTTCCTGAGTGTTATTTTCTGACATGAAGCCTGTGTATATCTTGAGTGTCTATAAGCAAAGAATGGCTCTAATTTTATAACAGATATGCTTGATGCTCATTAATCAATGTCCTCTTTATTCCTCTGTCTTCCAAAATAGAGATTTGGGGGGAAATAAGTACATTTGGAAATTTTCAAAAACACTGTTCATCCAACATAGATTTAGAAATACAAATTACTCTGTCTTAGTTTATTCCATCATTTACTAGGGAGATTAACTTGTGATGACCTTGAGGTAATTGATAAGAATGTCTGCTAAGTGAAATTGACCGGTAGGCAAAGTGTCTCCTGAAGCATATAAGTGGGAAGGTGAGCTGTCAAGGATCCTGTCACCCTTCTGTTAATTCTCATTTTAGACCCTCCTTTCCATTCCTACCATTGTCACCTTAATTCAGAATATCAACTCCTCTCACCCATAATACCAGCACCTCCTCTTAGTGGTCTACAGGTCTCCTTGGGCCCCCCGTCTATAGCATTATACCACAGTGATCATCCCAAACAGCACCCACCCTGAATCATCCTCAATAACCCACAGACCTGATTTTATTTGAATTGTAATCTGCCTGGCTTTAAAGAAAAAAAAACTTTCATGGAACTTAGCTATAAGCAGTAAGATGTAAATCAGTGGGATTCCAAGGAAGGCTTTGTAAAGGAGGCAGCAACCAGCTGTGTGATCCTTCTTGCCTCTCCCTCCTGAAACTAAGGGTCCATATGACTTCAATTAAATTTGGGTTTAAATCCTAGCTCTAGAAATTATATCTCTCTCTATATATATACACCCCAAAGACCTAGCCTTTCCCCCAGATAATCAGCAACCCAAGGCAGCAGAAGACCGTAGCCTGGATCTGACTAATGGTCACACTGTCTGGACCACTGGCAGGCCAAAGATAGTATCTTGAACTAAGTTATGTCTCAATTTCTGAGCCTAAAGGTGAAATGACCCCCTGGCTACATTCCCATGAGACCAAATAGACTCCAGAAAAGACCTCAAAGCTGCCCTCAAGACCTGAAGAAATGACTGATTACCCTTACCTCACCTCAGATCAGTCTGCCCCCAGCATGACCCCAAACCCCTAATGGTATCTTGTGACTTTGCCCTATACATAGAATCTGTAACCTGCACACCATCTGGGCGTCGGATCTTCAGCGTTAGCTCCCTGTGTGCGGGTTGGAAAATTCAATGTTAAACTATATTTTTCTTTCTATACTGCAAAGTCCTGCTCATGCATTTCTTTGGGCCAGTGTGTGCAGGCAGCAGGCCCAAGGAAAAGCATTGGGGTTCCAGTAACGCCTCACTTCTGAATTCCTGCCTGGAACTTGACTGTGATAGTTGAAATTCCAGCCAACATCCAGGACTGTAAGGTAACCTTCAGGATATAAGACATGAGCAAAGAACAAGAAAGCTGAAAAGGGGAACCCAAATCCCCGGTGGCCCTCTGGAGCCCCCATCTCAGCCATGGCCTGTCACCTCCAGACTTCATAACAGGAGAAAGAAATAAGTATCCCTTTTGTTTTGTCCATCACTGTTTCTGTTTGGGGATTAGCAGGAGAAGGTGTTTCCGAACAGAAGAAGGTATAAGGCTTTTCCAGGCCCGGCACCCTGCATCTTCATCTCAACATTACCACCCATGCGTCCCTCTCTCCTGCTCTGCTTCCCTGCTTTCAGCCAAGTTTGTTGCACAGCACGTGTCCTGGCGCTGAGCTGCGCGTTAAGAATAGATCAGAGCAACACAGCCAATACCTGCCCTTGTAGGAATTACAGTCTTTAGGGGAGAGGCAGGAATCAAGGACTAATCCCACAAGTATGTAATCATAAACCCTGCTGAATGCTAGGAAAGACAAGTTTAGGGGTGTCTGGCTTAGTCTGGAGAGTCAGGACGGGCATCATTAAAGGTGGCATTTGAGCTAACATTTGAGGGATGAGTAGTGGCTAACAAGTAAATAAGGGAAGGGAGTGAGATTCCAGGGAAGAGTGGAAATATTTTAGAACTTAACTCAAACACACTTGTTAAAATACGAAGGATGGTAATGTAATTGCAAAAAAGAAAAAAACAAACAGATATAATCTTCCAAAACAGTAGAGAAGGGGGAAATGAAATAAAGATAATTTAATCAATCCAGTAGAAGGCTGGAAAGGGGGGGAAAAATGGAAAGAAATGTAGAAGGCCACCCTGCAGGCCTTCCCTGAGCTTGTGTTAATGGAAGAAACATTCAAACCTGTGAAGATTTTTTGTGAGTTTATTTGAGCGAAACTAATGACAATTGCTGGGAAGCAGAATCTCAATGGATTGAGATAATGCTCCAGAGAATGGCAGTTTTGCACCTTGTTTTATGGATTACAGTCAAAGGGGGAGATGCATGTTGGTTAACTGAAATTCAGTGGTGATAGATTAGGGAGGTGGGAGAAAGCAAAGTGGGGAAGCCTCTGGGATTGGATAAAAAGTAAAATGAGAGACACACACTTCTTAGGTGGGTGCAGGATGGTTAACAGTCAACAATTAACTCAATAACAATGAGGGGTGCTTGTGTTTGAGGGGTCCCGAAAAAGGACAATTACTTTGACATTCCAGAGATACGTTATCGTAGATGCAAAAAGACAATAGACTGGCTCAGTTAAGGTAAAGGCTGACCTTTGTCAGGGAAGATACCAGCCTAGGACATGACTACCCACCATAAACTGATTTTTAGTTAAAAAGTTTTAATTTCAGACCATCCTTTGTGGTTACTTTAGGTCTCTGAGTTTGCAAGGCCACCATGCAGGCCTCCCCTGAGCTTTCAGGTTTAGCATGTGGCCCCTTTTCGTCCACACTTGTCAGGTTTAGTATGTGTCCCCTTGTTCATCCACATCATCAACAGAATCAAGAAAAACAACCCGTGTGATCAGCTACATAATATGCCTTGATAAAATTTAACATGTATTTATCACTTAAAAAAAACTTTCCTAGCTATTAGACTATTAATAAGAGGGAATTTACCTAATCTGATGGACTATATAAAATAATCAACAAGAAACTTTACATTTAATTGTGAAAAGTTAGAGATATTCACTTGAAAGGCAAGAGTGCACAGATCAACACTCCTATTCAACACTGAAATAATTGGTTGAAAAGTGTTGGGCAGGGAAACTCCCTTTACTTCCTTTAGTTCCCTTTAGTTCTTCCTAGCTAGTCAAATAATTCAAACGACATACAGCGGATTAACAGGAGAAAATCAAATTTTAATATATGCACAGGGGGAATTCACATAAGCATGAAAATTCCAAAGACAGTGAGGCAAAATGAGGTAACTATGTCACTTTGGATTAAGGAGGGCAATTTACAGGTAAATGAGAAAGCAAACATATGGTAAATAAATGCATGCAGTGTCGCCCAGAAACAATGGCACAGGGGGGAATCTGGAGTCCTCCCTATCTGCCACACTTCATTCATTGTGCTAAAGTGACTATGCTCAAGTTCTACCTGAATTCCTTTAGGCACGTAAAGGGGAGGTAAAAAAACAAAAACAAAAAACAACTCTTCCTGAGTTTGTTAGGCTTTAATTATTTTCAGCTGGAAATAATCTGCCTGCTCAGCTGGGGGTCAGGGGGTGGGGAGGTGGAGGGGTGCACATTCTGGGGAGACTCACGCCCGACCCCAACGAAAGGAAGAAACAAACTTTTAATTGTAGACAATATAATTGTCTCCAGTAAAAGCACTTAAGAACATCTACAGATAATTAGAAGAAAGAAAAGTTTCCCCAAGTCTGCTAGATAGACTCTCAGTACACAAATCAATTGTGTTCCCATAAACCAGCAGCAAATATGAGAAAATATAATTTAGAAAAGATAACATCAACCAAAAAAAAATCAATGTTACCTAAGAATAATTTTGGCAAAGATATGTTGGATCTTTGTGGAAAACTTATAAAACTAAATTTAAAGATCCTAAAGAAAGCCTAGACAAATTGATGCTATCCTACATTTATGTATGGAATGATTCAATATATAATATCGTGAATATTAAATATTCATTCAGAAATCCCATTCTCCCCAAATTCATAAATTCAATGCAGATGCAATCAAAATCCCAACTGGTCGTATGGAACTTAAATAGATCATAAGATTTATAAGCAAGGCAAGATCACAGGTCTAAGAATGGTTAAAGAATTTCCGTAGAAAATGGACAACATAGATGGGAGTCATAGGTGTCAATATTGCTCATAAAGCTATAGAAATTAAGACACTGAGATACTGGCACAGGGGCTCATAAACAGACCCACACACATGCCGTCTTTGACATGTGACAAGGGCTCACTGGGGAGAAGTGGGACTCAACACACGGGTCTAAAACAAATGACAACCCTGCTGGAAAAACACTAAATTAGAAACTTCCCTCGAGCCACTCATAGAAATAACTTCAAAGTAAAGCTAAAGTGAGAAAACATTAAAATATTAAGGAAAACATATAAGAAGCTATCTATATGACCTCTGGGTAGGGAAGCAGTTCTCAAAATAAAAGAGCAGCCATAAAGAAAAAAAAAAATCAATACTGCAAACAGCATTAAAGTTTAGAACTTCCATATGACAAAATACAGCTCAGAAGCAAGCCTTAGCCTGGGAGAATTTTCAGCACATACAATTGACAAAAGATGGTAGACAGACTATTTTTTCAAACTCCTACATTTTCAATCCACTGGAAAAGAAGGAAGCAGTAGAAATGTGTGCAAATGAAACTGGAAGCTCAGTGGCCAATAAGCATAAGAAGAGACCAAAACCTCCCTAATACTCATGGAAATTTAATTAAAACAATATGGCACCATGTCATACGAATCAGATTGGCAATAATAAAAAAAGTCTGGTGA